TTTGCGTGTTACAAGGCTTGTAATTACTGTATTACTATGTCATTTTAGTATCAGCTCGAAATATTTCATAAGGAAGAATAAAATTGTTGGGTCACCGGTATATTTTATCGTCGGCGAACTACCATAACCGATATAAATACTTCTAGGAAGCAATTTCTTGTATATATTGTATTTACATCACCATGGTGATAAAAATGTGACGCGAATCCGAAATTAAAAATACAGTGTTTTAATTTTAAAAACATGTAACGTTGTTTTAAAAAAGACATATAATTGCATACCCAGTATAAACATGAAAAAAGATAAATTATGCATACCTATTAAGAAGCATTTTGGAACATTTCAGTAACATTCCAACAACGTTACAATGTTGCCGAAATGTTTCCAAATGTTTCTTACTCACTAGATATTCATTACTGTAATTAAAATATCGTCTCAATTAAAAATTTTAAAAGCTCTATTAAAGATTACTAGTTTTGAGATATGTCATTCTTTCTTTAACACAATAATATATATAATATATTTTCTGTTACTAAATCACAAATAAAAATTAAAATTTCGTGTAATATCTGTGATTATAAAATTTGAAACATAACATATATATTTATAACATGAAGAAAAAAAATAAAACATTTTAAGAACATAACACACAAATATGCCTTCTTATGCGAATATGAAATGAGCGAGTTGGCAGTCGTTGAGATTGGCAATCGTCGGACGAGTTTATTAGTCTCTCCATCGCTACAGCGCACTGTTTTTGATACTTTTATCTTTTAATTAATTTTCTTCTATATATCGCTTGCCATGTGTGTTTTTATTAGCATGTGATGTGTGCTATAGCGGACTAACGTATCGGTGCTTCGATTGTGTCTGCTATCTGCGTGGATAGCTTTGTTGCAATTTATACACTGTGTTCGCTGCAGTTCATTCGATGAAATTTGAAATATGTTTCTTGTGAAGGCTCTTCGTAAGCTTTGGACTCGATGTCCTGCCTTCGGTTCTCATTTTTGATTGCCTTGGTCTGCAGCTTCTCTCGATAGGTCAGCTGACTCATTATTTTATTTTTTAAATTTTGTTTTAACTTATTATATTTTATTTTCTGTGTCGTACTCGATGTATCCTATCTTATTATAATATTTTTTGTTCATTCATTACACTTATTTAAATTTTGTATTTATCTTTATATAACTGTGTATTTATGATTGCAACTTATTCAATGTATATACTTAATTTTTATTTTATTATGTATTCTATTTTATTATAATATTTTCGACGTCGAATTAATACTGCACTCGCCTTTAGCACTGCTAATGTTCCTGACGCGCCTGCTTCAGGAATTGGTATGTTTTTGGCGCTGGGTTCCAAGACGCCGTTTATCGTGCTTACCGCCTAAAATCAGCCCTAACTGCCAGTGCCGAAAATCTATAGCTCACGTGATGTAAACTATAGGTTTTGAGTACTGACATTAAATATTGGAATGTAGTTTAATGAGAGTCATTAAAAAATTTTATTGCGAAAAATATTGTCTTGGCCAGGGTTTGAATCTGAAACTCCCGACTTTCCGGGGCGAGCGTAATACCAGTTGTGATGTTTAAATTATTTATTTATTTGACGTTAAAATTGCTCCAAAATCATTTTTTAGTAAGTTGATTCCTTTTAGTGTTAATTTGATGATATATACATATGACTTGCTGTTTTGCTAATGTTGCGTTCATTACCATGATAATCCTTCCACCATGACACCTCGATAAAAAATGTTTCATATATAATTATACAGGGTGAGCCAAAAGTCTGGATACACTCAAATATTTCATAAACGATACATTTTAGAAAAAAACGTTTCTTACAAAAGTTGTAAAGCTTAAAAAAACGCATTCGACGATAGTAATTATTTAACCTAGGATGACGTTGTCAAGGTCAGGTCAAGGTCTCTCAACATGAATTTTTTTAATGGAACCTCTCCTTTTTTATAACATATTCTTGTAGTTTGTTTCTAGAGCTTTCCAAAACATTAAACAAATTAAGTTCATTTCCATTAAGTACTTTGCGAGTTATAAGGCTTGAAAGTTACAGTCGGCATTAGCATTACCCAATATGTCCGACCAATGGCTAAAGCTTCTTGAATGTTGTTCAGGATCATATAACGTATAAATACGGTGACACGAAATATTCACAGAGCACGACTGGTTCCAGCTTGGTGAGTCAAGATTGCAAGTAAGTATTTGGACCCATCTCGAATACTTAATAAAATAAACTCAAAAAAATTTTTTTTTAATCAAAAGTTATGTGGTATGTATTTGTGTATCGACAACAAATTAGCAAATTAGAACAAATTAAAAATTATAAGTATGATTTCGTGGTCATAGATGGAAAATTTGTTATATAAGAAAAACTGTATTGAAATCTTATATAACACAATCGAAAAATGAAATAATTAAATTATTAAAAAAAAAATACTTTATAAAGGATGGACGATGCACTCATGATTATAATTTAATTCTGATTTAAATGTCAAGATATCTTTAATCTTTTTTACCAAAAAATGTCAAATATCGCAAAAAAGTAAAAACGGACAAATGCTAGCATACGTGTGACTGACGAATCACAAAGTTTGAAAAGTAATACACTGATGGATTCAATTCCTAGATATCACTAATGAGAGTACCAATTTTATTTGAAGTAGTTGCAATCGAAAATTTGTATCGACATTAAAAAAGTTAGATTTTTTATTGCGGTTTAAATTTCTTAACAATTTTAATCGAAAATTTGTTGTCGTAAAAATTTATTAACAAGAATTCCAGATAAAGCTATTGATAGTGCTGCAAACTTGGTAGGGGCACGACATTTACAATGATAGTCACGCGGTCCATTTTGTTTCTACTGTATGTTTCATTTTATGTTCTTGTGTCGTAATGCTACCGCAACGCTTGATAGGTTTAAAACTAGCTAAATATAGATTACAGTTAAGCGCACTTAACACTTTTAAGCATTAAATTGTATGTATAATGCACAATACTATGTGCCTGTTGTGTGTAATATTTGGTGTGAATTAGTTGATGCTGTTAACAAACAAACGCAATGAATAAGATAAATTTGTAATTTATAAGAAAATTATATCGCTACTGCTTATTATATTATTATTTTCCCAATAAACAAGCTGCCGTTATTTATCGTCATTTTAATATCAAAATGACGATAAATAACTTCAGCTTATTTTTGCTGAATTGTGTACGACAATATTAATAGAAGATATAAATAAAATTTTAATTGTTGTAATCAAGTGACATGAGAGTGGCTAAGAGAAAGGATACATTTAGGACGCCAGGACTTCCTGAATATTACAGAAAAACGTAAATAATAACAAAAAGTTACACATACGGGAAAGAACCCTATTTGTTTATAAATGAATTGCCTAGAGCACTGTTTGCCTACATCTCGTATTTGTGCCTACAGATTGCTTATCTGTATTATCGCCTACAGCTTGATTGATTACATGCACTTTTGCGCACAAATAAAATTTCGGGAACAAAGTCACATTTGCCTACAGCTTGATTGCCTACATATATTATTCTCTGCTTTAAAAACAAATTATTTTCTTACGTAAGCGTAATTTTAAATTTGTGCGCAAAAGCGCTTGTAGGCAATTGATATGTAGGCAATAATAGATACATGTAGGTAATCAATTTGGTAAGTTAATGAAATGTAGGCAAACGGTGCTGTAGGCAATCAATTGTAGGTAAAAGTTCGTCTTGTATTTTACATTTCTTGCACTGGCGATGTCTTGATGAAAAAAATTACACGAATTTAATCCTGTGGAATTAAATCTTTTATTAAGCAGTTTTTATTAATGAAATTTCGGTATTTTTTGAATTAAGAATAAAGATTTAACTAAATAAAGATCTAATTAAATGAATGTATTTATGGTAATTAAATAAATGATATAATTGTATCTTGTTCTGAATTTTCATGAAAGAATACGATAATTATTATAATTTTGAAATTAAAATCAAATTAAAATTCACAAATTTTTAAGATTTAGAATCTAAATTTTT